TTTTATTGGGTGGGCTTTAGATTGGTAACCCCGGAGTACAGCATTAAGGAAAATATGGGAGGTAGAGGGGGGTTGTTGTTGTTGTTGTTGTAGCGGCTACAACAACCCCGCCCAGATCGGTTGGTATCTCAGTCGTTGTCGTCAAGTTCCACTAACGGCAACCCTAGGAAGCGTGCAGCTTCTGCGGGGTTTGCCCATAAGGACAAGGTCGTTAGGGATGTCGGGTTTGCCGGGCATGCGAAGAGATGTTTCGAGTCATGTGGGGTCTCTCCGCATGCCGGACATTCGTTAGGCACATCCTCATTCAGCCTACTCAAGTAGGAGTTTAACCTGCTGCAGTAGCCGGAGCGAAGTTGTGCAAGTGTAGTGCGCGTCTCCCGAGGCAGATGAAGCTCCGTCTCGTCAATGTCCGGGGGTGGTGTGCCTAGAACGGCATTCACAGGTCTAGAGTCTACATAACTCGAGACTGAGTCCCTGTGAATGCCGTTCAAGGCCTGTTGTAGGCTGTCGGGTCCAGAGGTTGCTTAATGAACCTCTGGACTTCGTCCGTTAGTTCATATAGATGCCTCCTGACGTGCCTAGGCGAGTGCTCCTCTGCAAGCAGCTGTCTGCTCGGGTGGCCACTTCTGTGGCTCCCTATCAGGAACTGCTTGCAGAGCATTATATTGTGCTCCTTTACCGGGAGCATTTGCGCCTCGCCGTGCAGGTGGTGTTCAGGCGTCATCAAGAGGCATCCCGTGCTGTCCTCAGTGCGGTGTTTTGTACGGTCTGTGGCTTCGTCCACTGCGTCCTACTAGTCCCAGGCGACCACACTGGCGCAAAAAAAGAGATTTGGAGCCCAACTGCATTTGTTCCACGCTTTCTATTAAATTCCTGTAAATTCTCGCAATTTCTTGCGAGTTATGGAACGCGACTAATGACACTTGCCTTTGCATTGTTTCTAACGCGCGAGCTGCTTTTAAATTTGTTATCCATAGCAATGCACACTTTTAATGCAATGAACGCGTTTAATTGTTATATTGTAACTAGGAATGAAACAAGTAAATACTCGATACTTTTCGTTAGAAATCAAGAAAGTTTGGTATCGATTCTTTGAATCAAAAACCTTAGGGCCAGTCTACATACATCTTTGGTGTTGCGTTGGGGTTGGCGTCGTTTCAGCAGCTGTCTATGGGCTCTGTCACACGGTCAGTATTTATTGACGTGATCCAAGTACCACAATATTTATTGACGGTGTAGCATGCAGTATTGATGGATAGCGATCCATATCGCAAAATTTCTAAAACCGTCAATAAGTATTAAACGTGTACCACTTTCAAAACGCGATCCAAAATTTCGTCATTACATCTTTTACTCTCATAATGCGCTCATCGAAAACGTATTCGCTCTGCCTTCGCTCTCGGTGCTTAAAATCTTTCAAAAGAAATTGAAACAATTTTAATTAACATTTTAAGTTTTACAATAATTGTGGAATGCATTATCTGTAAATTATACCCACAAAATAAAAATGGTTTCTTGCGTCATAATAAGCATTTAGCACAAAACTTATGCAAATACTGACGCGATAAATATTGAACATATAGCATTCGCGCGCGATCCATCAATCCATCAATATGGATCGCAATCCATATAACGTGATAATTACTGACCGTGTGACAGGGCCCTATGAATACATAAATTGAAATTCAAGTTCTGAACACATTGAAAACTACGAGCTAGGGGCCACAGGTTCCAAGTTGGGTTTTGGTGCAGTTCATGCTCCCCACCGCAAATTGATGCAAAATAAGGGGGTATAAAACGACGCGTATTACTGCCAGTATTAAGAACCCGGAGGCGGAAACTTACTTTTGTACACCATTCCATAGTTAGGTCGGTGTTATGCAGAATAACTTTTGTTTGCCAAATTAAATGGCGGCTGCTTAGTTTGCTCGGAGGTGGTTGTCGAGTTTGGCACAGGGATGCACGTTCATTATGGTTTTCATGGCTATTGCCAACACGAAATGAGAATTTCAGATGTACATAACGCACACAATTTAAAATTTTTGTATATGACAACACCGAATTTGCTGCAGTTTGACCAAACAAAATTAGTTTGCTGTGAGAGTCGCCAAACTCGCTCTCTCCGAGTTTGCTGCAACAACAATTGCACGCAGTTTGCCAAACAAAATTTCTGCATAACACCCAAGAATGATAGAATACAAGATTGCGCCAATCGAGCTGAGAGCAACTGGCCGTGCCGTCAAAAAATAACAGAATGAGAGAGCAAAGACGAATTCAATAAGAAAATGAAGAAGAATCGAGCAGCTGGGGCGAAATTGAAAGGTTTGTTTACAAAGTGCATAATAAATCGCGGATTTACGGAATTATTTAATTTTAAATGGTAAATTGGTTGTTTAAAAGTAAAGAATGTGTACTTCTTTAATGCAATGGAAATCGCTAAAAGTGTTAAAACACTGCAATCATTATAATGATTTGCATTTTTTCAGTAATTGAACAAATACCAGCGGGCCGCCAGCGGGTCAGTTGCTGGTAACAATTTGCAGAACGATTCCACGGTGATCGTTGCATCGTCGTCAATTAGTGAAATCAGTAAGCAAGCTTTTAAAATAAAGGAAAACCTCCTACTCCGCTATACATACAATTACTTTCATTATTTAGCTACTTTTCCGGCAGCCGCAACAAACGCTGGCCCAAGCCTGCAAATTGTTGCCAGAAACTGACCCGCTAGCTGCCCACTGGCATTTGCTCAACTACTCAAAAATGCACTTTGTAAACAAACCTTTTGGGTGTTGGCCACATCAAGCGGCTCATCTGGATGAAATGAAAAAAAGCTGTTAGATGTAATGCAGCAACGTGCTCCCGATGTTGAACATCAGTTCAAAGAAAAGTCAAATGAGTTGGAAATGGCGCAGCTTATCATACGCCAGTTGTCGGATAAGGCCGATGTAAACCAAGGCCGCAATCGGATAGAGACCTCGACGCAGACGCAATTTATGTACGAGCAACAGATTAGAGACTTACAAGTAAGTTAGAAGTAGAAGTGCATTTGAAGACGTTTACATTATTATGTTTACGCATTTCTTACAGGCTATGGTGCAACAATTGACGTATGAAAGGAATTTATGATGGTCACAAATATATTGGCAAAAACATAGCAAGTGCATATGCCAAGTTGGAAAAATTGACAATGCGTGAGTATAAAATGAATAGGTGTTCTTAATTATAAATATTACTTTACCTCTTCTTTTGCAGTGGCTAAAAAGAAGAGTCTTTTTGATGATCGACCGCAATAGATTCAAGAATTGACTTACATCATGGTGTATGCGTTACAATCTAAATTAGCCAGCATGGGCACCGACTTCAAACAGATACTAGAAGTGCGTATAAAAAATCTCAAACAACAAAAAGCGCGTCGGGATCAATTCGGGCAGTCACCAATTGCTGCTAGCACTGTTCGCTCGAGTACAGCGAAACAGGGCTCCTTGCTGTTAAGCGAAGAGAATACGGCCGTAAGCATTGACATGGCCGCAAGTGATACAACACCATTGCTGGGTGCAGTCGGAGGTAGTGGAATACAGACGCAGCAGCAGATTGCATTATATGATGACTCCGATAGTTACGTGCAACAGCGGGCTGAGACTATGCAGAACATTGAATCGACTATTGTCGAGCTAGGCGGTATATTTCAACAATCAGCACATATGGTTAAGGAGCAAGAGGAGACTGTGGAGCGTATCGATACAAACATACAAGATGCCGAATTGAACATAGAAGCGGCGCATGGTGAAATATTGAAGTACTTCCAAACTGATGATAAAAATCTTCGCAGTACTGATATTCTTTTTCATATTCTTCGTAGTTTTCCTTACATAATAACGAATATGTTTGTGACACGGCAAGATTTTAACAAGTTCAGATGCGCGGTCTTAAAGTTGTGGGTTTTTAAATACATAAATATATAATATCCTATTCATATACATACATATAAAAAACACTAATGTAATAATGAAATTAAGTCTTATATGCCACGTGAAACACGATAGCTTTTAGAAGCAGTCACGTAGGGTTAGACACTAATTCTGCCAATAATAAAATTACTTCACTTAGTTTCACTTTTTTTCAAAATTTTCTATAAAAAGTAGAGATGATCCTGTGTAATAAAACGAGAACCGATTTATGTAATCATAAATATATAAAGAAAAGTTTAAAACTAAATAAAATAGAAATTGTTATTGGCAATAAGTACATGTGCTTGTTTATTAATAATTCAAATATTATGTTCAAACAAATTTAAGTGAAAGGTATGCAATTTCAAGAAAAAAGCAATTGCTTAGTTTTTATGCATACGGCTTAACATTTCCGGTAGGAAGCAGAAGGTCAGTATGTATAAATAAAAAGCTTTATCAGGGGAACGTGTTATATTTTCAAATAACAAATAAATAAAAAATACATCGTAATGAAATGTTGCCGTTTATTGCATGTGATCTGATGCCGGATTCAATTTATAGGTTCTCGTAGGTAGCTCGTTCTCGAAGTCATCAGTGGTGAAGTGTTTTACACAGATTGACGCTGGTTCGGGCGTTGAAATCCGTTGGTCTCCGGCAGAACTGGATCCACTTTTCCACCAACTCAATGTCGGCTGGAAAAGTAAGAAAACTGCATCCAGATCCTTTGGCACTAACAATAGCACAATTAATCACTGTACACCTCATTTTTTTCTTTAATTTATAACTTTTTTATAAGTTTTCGCAAAAAACAAAACAACGCTCAAAATCTTTCCAATTTGTAAATTTGTAAAGTTGAAATAACCTAAAATGTCACGAACCAGAAAATGTAAACAAAAGTATTGTGTGACGTCAGCGAATGGGTGGATGCTGTCAAATCGACGAAGAGTGGGTTAGCGGTCCGCGAATGGCGCGACCTTTATTTTCTGGATCGTGCATAACACCATCCTTATTTGCAAAAAACTGTTTCATTTAGCACAACTTTGTTAGTACTGAAATCACATTAACAAATGCATTAAATGAGTACATATTAATATCTCGATGTTCAGCATAATTTATTTTACCCGAATTTGTAACAAAGGCTGCAATTTAGTTTGGCATCCCCGGAGTTCCTCATTAAGATAGCAATGGAACGGTAGAGGGAGTTCTCCTGATTACAAATATATATACTTTTAGCCGCAGCAGGGTTATAGTTTTTTAGTTATTTGTTGTTAAAGTTTGTAAATTGAACTAACCTCTCGGCGCTATTTCACACAATAAACACTATATTTATGTACACACTTCGGCAAAATAGTTGCATTAAAACCCCGGCCTGAGCTTTCCACTTCAATATACAATTCCTTATTAACTAATTAAGTAAAACGCGTTTATAAATATCTTCACAAACGTCTGCACATTTCACAAACAAGCAGAAATAACAATGGCTGACAGTAACACAAAATGTATGCTACCATACGTTAAAAAAAATACACCACAAATAAGTGCGTATAATTAAGGAGTATAAGTGTACAATACGTATGTACATACATTGCTCTTATTAAAAATTATAATATTAGGATCGATAGGGGTCTTACTCCTGATCATAACGGTATAATTTTTTTCGGGTGGAAATAATATTTACTGGTGTTATTGTAGTTCAAAGTACACTAAGGGCCGGTTACTCAATGTCTGGTTATCACTAATCTCCGGTTAAACATAGTTATCGACGTTACCGACTCCCTGTTGTATGAATGGAGTCGAATACGTCGATAACAATGTTTTACCGGAGATTAGTGTTAACAAGACATTGAGTAACCCGCCCTAATGTAGAAAACGTACATCGATAATTTGATAAATAATGAAAATTTTTAATAAAAAATCGCGCAATTTTTTATTAAAAATTTTCGCCTGCACCACTTTTTCCATAAAAATCAATACTTCGATAAATAATGAAAATTTTTAATAAAAAATCGCACGATTTTTTATTAAAAATTTTCGCCTGCGGCGCTTTTTACATAAAAATTAATATTTGCAATCAGGAGAACTCCCCCTACTCCCCCCATAGCCACCTTTTTTTTGTACGCGGGGGATGCAAAACTAAAATTTTCCCATAACAAAAAACCACGAAACTTATGATTTAAAGGTGTATTATTTTGAAAACAACGAATGTAAACCCGGCGTCTTCTTTTTATTCCGCTAGTTGTAATAAAAACATGGAGGTGTTTGGTGTTGTCAATTCATTAAAAAAAAGGTTTAAAGCTGGGATGCCAACAAAAAACATGCAAGATTTTGAGTTTAGTAATTTTCTGATAAATTTGTATGTAAACAAAATTTTATTAATAAAAGATATTTAAACGGTTCGTTTCTATTTTATTATTTAAAAGATTAGATTCAATTTGGATTGCGGTTCTATTTGCTTTAAATAAACTTTCCAGTATGTATGTAGGTATGTATGTTATTGCAATTCCACACTACCCTAGAGGTTGCAACAATGCTACTTTGCAAACCTGAATAGTTTCAATCTCGATGATATGCTCGAACATATCAACCTTTGTTTGATTTCGAGTACGAATCAACTAACTTCTCGGGTACAAAGGCGGATTAAAATCAGATATAAATGGTATGATGGACAACTGACTGACACTAATAAAAACAAGTTTAGGTTACACCAAAGGGCAGTACTCACAGGTGATTGGGTAGATTACAACAAAATAAAGAAAGAGTATAAGAAAATGATTAAAATTAAGAAAATTCAACATATGGAACACAAGGTAGAAATTAATAGAGGTGATAGTCGTTTAATGTGGAAATATTTAAAGAATATTGTTAATAATACGGGTAACAGGGACAATATCAATGAAGTTCTTATCAACGGAAAAATATACAGAAATAGTATGGTAATCGCCGAAGAACTAAACAAGTTCTTTGTGGATAGTATCGTCGACATAAGTAGTAATATAGAGAACGTAAATTGTGAACAGTTACGACAGGAAGACAGTCGAAGCACCTTTAAATTTGAGAAAATTACTTCAGAGGATGTTATCCATATAGTGAAGAAATTTAAGAATAAAATTGGTGGAAATAATTTATTATCTGAAGGTATTATCAAGGATTCAGTTGAATACATGGGACACTTTTACGCCTTATTAATAAATAAGAGTCTTGAATCAGGAACAGTACCAAAAGAAAGGAAAACCTCGACCATAGTTCCGGTTAAAAAAAGTGAAAAAAACTGTAAAAGCTGAGGAAATTAGACCAATTAGTACACTGCCTAGTATGGAAAAAATCTTAGAAAATGTGGTTAAAAATCAGTTGGTGCGCCACATTGAAAGTAAAAACATAACCATTAAGGAGCAATCAGGTCTTAGAGCTAAATACTCTTGCGAGACTGCGCTAAATTTTGTTATATCCCAGTGGAAGGAAGACCTTAACTCGAAGATGAATATCGTTGCGGTTTTATTGATCTCAAAAGAGCTTTCGGGACCATTGGCAGGGCAAGAATGTTGAAAAAGCTCGAATGCATTGGTTTTGAAAACACGGAGCTCAACAGGTTTCGAAGCTTTCTCTCAGATCTTATGCAACAAACTGTAATCGAGTCAAGTGTGTCAAATAAAGTGGCAGTCAATATTGGGTTGCCGCAGGGATCGCTATTGGCCCCAGTACTCTTTAATATTTATATTAACGACATAAATANTGAAGTTCTTATCAACGGAAAAATATACAGAAATAG